GTGGCTCTGGATGTTTGGGCAGCTCGTCTGGGTCCTTAGGGGGCTCTTCTACAATTGAGGGAACCGAGGGAGCCGGCGGGATTGAATGAGCTGAAGAGACGGTTGAGGGGTCAGTTCGGCGCCGCTCTGCTCGTCGTTGTTCTCGGCGTTCGCGTCGCCTCTCGCTCATATCAGATGCATCATCTTTTGAGGATCTCCCGGAAAGGATGGTGGAAGCAGCAGCAGCGCCGATTGCACCCGCGACAACTGGGCCAGCCCAATCTCGGTCTCGTTCTCGTTCTCGATCACGGTCTTGCTCGCGCTCCCGCTCGCGCTCGCGCTGGCGTTCCCGCTCCCGTTCATATTCGCGCTCCCGCTCCCTTTCTCGCTCGCGTTCGCGCTCACGCTCCCATTCAGGTTCGCGGTCTCTGAATCGCTGCGAGCCATACCCACCAGGAGCAGACTGTGTATCGCCCTCTTTATCAATGAGCTCGATGCGATCTCCGCGCCCAAGATCATGCTTCAACCTCTCGAGGCGTTCTGCGCGGCGCTCCTTGTCTTCTTGTTCGCGGGTCAAGTCAAATGAGACGGAGGCCGGTGCTTTATCCGTGGAGCGGCGCGTGAGACCGGGCTCAGGAGTAGGTTCGATGGGGTCAACGGGGATAACCGGGGTGGACTCGCTCCGTTTATGGCTGCGCCCGGGCTTTGAAACGAAAACATCACTTGCGGCGCGCTCGGGGTAACCAGAGCTCCTTTGGTCTCGTGGCTTCTCGGCCTCTCGTAATTGAGTGTCGTAAGAGGGGAACGGGTTCTCGAGCGTCGGTATTATTGGCGCAGTGAATGGCGGGATTGGTGCGCCCTGCGTGGTGTATACAGCTTGCGAGACAGGCGTGACAGGCTGAGGCTGCTGGAGAGGAATAGCACCTGGTCGAACCATTTGCGGCTCAGAAAATGGGAACGATGATACAGGTACAGCCTCGAAGCGGCCTGGATCGGAAGTTGGCACTGGAGCCACATGCTGAAGACTTGCCGAGCTGCTGCTGGGAGCCTGTTCCTTCTCGTCACGATGGTAGCCAGAGGCCAGTGCTGCTGTTCCCAGCGCCCCAGCAGCTACAGCGGCGGCAGCACCGGTAGAGAAGCGTTCCTTAGGCGAAGATGACCGTCTCTTTGACTTCTTCTTTTTGCTCTTGGCTCCCCAACCCCAGCCCCATCCGGAAGTTGACGAGTCTGACGAGTGGGCGTCTTCACGAGCAAAATGCCCACTCGCGCCGAAGGCAAGAGCCGAACTGACGCTTGACTGTCCCTCGGAGTCCAGATCCTCCCAGTCCTCATCATTACTGGCGGAGGACGTGTAGTCCGATCGACCAGAGCGAGAGCCTTGGCCGACGAATACTTCACCAGCACGGCGGTTGCGGCGCGGAGAGGAAGCAGCCAACGCGGTTGCTGTTGCGCCCAGCGCCAGCAGTTTCGCGTCGACGTCTTTTTCCTTCTTCTCCTTCTTCTCCTTCGAGCTCCGTCTTTTGGACTTACCTATCAACTTCCTTGCATATCCGCTTCCAAAAGCAAGGTCGTTGTCAACGGAGGATGACGAAGAATTGTTGAAGGAGAAGATGCTCTTGCTCCTCTTGCGGCTTCGCTTCGTGCGGTTCTCTGAGGAAGCGGTGAAGAAGGAGCCGAAGCCGCCGGCTGTTTTCTTAGTAGGCCGTGAGATATTGTCGAATGAGACATCAGAGGACGAAGCGGATGACTTTCTGCCTCGGGACTTTCGTGGTGAGCGGCTACGGCTGCGGCTGCGACTGCGACTCCGATGGCGTCGAGATTTGACCACTGATGCGGCGGCTGTACCAATCGCAGCCCCAATCGCAGCGTCGCGAAGAGTATGGTGATTCGAGCGGGATGACGACCGGGAACGAGATCGAGATCGACCACTAATACGCGACCCCTCGTAGCGGCTCTTTTTCTGGTCATGGTATTCGATACGTTCTCGCGACCGGCTACGGTGCGACCGCTTATACACACCACGCGAAGTCTTGCTCCTTCTGTCCGATGTGGAGTCACTTTCAGGATAAGCACCAGAAACCTTACCAGATTTGAGACTGTACGAGTCATCAAAGTCTTTGCTGTCAAAGAGCGACTTGGCCACATAGCCGCCAAGAATAGCCGGGAGCCAGGAGGACTTGGACGATTTGCGCCGCCGACCTTCCTCTTCAGAGGACGCATAGCGGGTTAACTTGTCGACTCGCGAGCCAGCACTAAGGCGATCCGACGACCGGCGGCGTCTGTAGTGGTGGGTTCGCGGTGCATTTCTGGAAGTCGTACCAGGTTCAAAGCAGTATTTGCAAACTCCAATGGCCTCGGTGTAGTCTTCAAATTTGCCAACGCCTTCAGGATCTCGCCAGAAATCAATGAACTTGTCTAGCGGGCCGCGCTGGCGTTGCTGGAAGGCCATGGCTCCACCTTGAAAGGGAGAGCCGTGGTGGACTGCAGCGTGATGGGGGTGTAGAGGACTTGCGGCGTACGGTAGTCCAGCGACTCCGGCAGCGCCTGCAGCGCCTGCAGCGCCTGCAGCGTAGAGAGCGGGATTTATCGGCGCGCCGGAGTAGCCTGCACCTATCTGAGACACATCATCTGGGTTCTGCATAGTGTATTGGGAGATGTGGTCGGAGCTTGACGAAGAGTGATGGTGGCCTAGCATGTAACCGGCTGCTGCGCCAGCGGCAGCACCTCCAAGCGCAGCACCCACGCCATGGGAGTGGGAGCTAGAATGAGGCGGCCTGTTGCCGTTTGTTGGGGTAGGAGGAACGTATGCAGCCGGAGATTCCGTAAAGACGTGTTCGGGAGAGTAGTTTCCAACACCATAAGTCGCAGCTGCAGCCGCTGCTCCCATGGCGCCAGCGGCTTGAGCCGAACTATATGATGGCTTTGACGGCTTCGACGGCTTAGGAGGTCTGGACTCAGGGCCGGAAACAGGAGGACCAGACGTCTCGATGTCAAGTGCGGGATCGAAATATGACGCAGCGGCACCAACTCCACCCACACTGCTAGGTTCTGGAGGCGGATTCGCGGTCGGCGAGGCTGTCATCAGGTGCGCTTGGCTATTGGGGATAACGAGTGGGGGCTTTGGTCGGACGCCCGGCTGGTCTTGGACAGACTGTCCCTGGTCATTGTAGTAATCGGCTGCTTCACCGGCAGGGTTCGGCGGACGGTAAGGCTCAGCGTAGGAAGTCGGGAATTGCCCAGGAAACTGCTGGGCGACGTGAGGATCGTAGATCGTAGGCGTAGGCGCCATGGGCGCTTCAGGCGGAGCGGAGACGGGGTTCATGGGGAACGCGGGACCTTGCGTCGTCTGGATAGGGTCGAATGGCGCAGGGATCGCACCGCTCGCCATAGGTGGGTAAAACGGTTCTCCGGGGTATGCCCGCTCCTGTTCGCGCTCGCGCTCGCGCTCTCGCTCACGACGACGGCTATCCCGATCCCTCTCCCTCGAGTCATCCCTATCAGATTTGGTCCTCCTGCGCTCTTTCTCTCGTTCGCGGTCATAGTCGCGGTCGCGGTCACGGTCATCTCGATATCGTTCTCGATCGCGGTCGCGGTCGCGGTCATCAAACCCCTCCTCCCTGCGCCTCGGCGCCCGCTCAACATAAACACGCTCATCGTCATCATTATTCGGCCGCGCGGTCGCATAGCTCGAGGCAACGGACTCGCCCGCTGCGCTCTCCGCATACCGCGCGCTCCTGCTGCGACTGCCTGAGGACGGGTAGGCGGACAGATCGCCGAGTCCGCGGTCACGGTCGTCACCCCGTGACGAGGACTTGCGGCTGACTGTCGAGGATGCAGAGGATCTGTGCTTGCGCCGACTACCGCTCTTCGAACTCGAGCTTGTGCTGCTGCGGATGTCGGAGGTGGAACGGCCCCCGCCCATGAGGGCCTTGAACATGGTGGGCTGAAAGAGCTGGGGCGCTCTGGGGATTAGAGAATCATGGGTGTTCCTTGGTGGTTTCAATTGGGTGTGGGAACCGGGTTCGTGAAGCTGTGAGTGTCGTCGTCGTAAAATTACAGAAAGAGAGAATGCGATTGATGGAGGAAGGAAAGAGATGATGAAATCAGCGAAGGTTCCGATGAGGAGGCTGGAGGATGGAGGCGAGACAAGACAAGGCAGTATGTTTTGGCGGCGGTAAACAACAGCTGAACCGTGGATCTGTGCTGGTGCGAGCGGGCTGCGGGTTGGTTGCTCCAGACACTCGGCCACTAGCGATCTAGCGCCTGGATCGGGTTGGGCACGGCCGCGCTGGCTCAGTAGTAGGAAGCGAGTTCGAGGTCGATTTGAAAAGCTGCGGGGGATCTGCTAGTCAATTGTGGTTCAAAGAACGATGGGGTGAGATCGGATCGATGATGAGTTTGTGGATGGGTTCCTGCTTGTGCTGTGCTGCTTTTTCGGAAAATTCTATGAGCTGGTCCTGGAGGTGGACTGGACTGGACTGGACGGCGATGCGGTGAGGCTGGGCGGTGGAGATGCACGTGCCGAGAGGAGAGTGGCTGGAGTTGGATCCTACCTGGCCAGAGCAGAGACGAGTCGAGGAACAAGGCGCTTGTGGTTATACGTATAGACTATGTGCGGAGTATTATTCTGATTACGGTTTATACTAGTTGGAGACTTGGAGTGAAGTACTGGCCCATGGCTCATTCCGATCGGATCTGTGGTTCGCCTTCTGGATCTCGAGGCCGAAGAATGTGGGGATGCTGCCTTGTGGCTCAGGCAACTATATATAGTCATGCCATGCCATGCGAACGAGCTACGAAGCAATCACTTTGTTTAGCATAGGGAGTAAATGAATGTTGGAATCGGTGGATCTGTAAGAAAGAAGGTAGTTAGAATTGATATTCGCGAACAGTACTCCGTACACTATACAAATAACAAACACAAACAGCAAAGCAAACATATAAACATACAGATCCCAAGCAAGCGCAGGCTGTAGCAAACACTATATACATCAGCAAGAGCCCCCCGAGCAAATCCATCCCTAATCAGCCCTCATCAACCTCTCCAACCTCACCCGATTCCCATGCTGAAACCACCCGGGAAACCCCCTAAAGCACTTCGCAATCCACCCCGTCGACCCAGGCAACAGCACATGCCCACTCCTCCCCGTCAGCACCTGCCCAACAACGCCCTCAGCCACCGTCTCCGGCTGCAACAGCGGATGCAACCACGTATCCTCCGGCGTCAACCTCCCAATGAGCCCCGTGTTCACGAAACTCTGCGTCACCAGCACCGTCCGCACCCGCGGCGCATTGTACCGCGTCACCAGCTCCGCGCCCAGCCCCTCGTGGAATGCGATCGCCGCGGCCTTGGTCGCCGAGTAGTCGACCATGTTGGGCGTCACGGTGTACCCCGCCTGCGAGGCGACCGTCACCACCATCCCGTGGTTGTGCTTGATCATGGACGGCAGGAATTCCTTCGCGAGCCAGTAGTGCGCCAGGGTGTTGACCTCGAACTGTAATCGTGTTTGGGCCTCGCTGCTCCCCAGGATCGTGCGGCTGCTTAGGATGCCGGCGTTGTTGATTAGGATTGTTGGCTCGCCCATCGTCGTGCGGATGGCGGCCGCGGCTTCGGCGATTGCGGCGGGGGATGTGATGTCGCATTTGTGGTAGCGGACTGTTGAGGGGAGGTTCGCTTGGCCGTCGTTTGGCGGCTGGATGTCGAGGATTGCGACTTTTATGCCGCGCGCGCCGAGGAGTTGGGCGATCTGTCGGCCGATTCCGTTGCTCCCGCCTGTGAGGACGACGACTTCCTTGTTCCAGTGGTAGGGGTCTGAGAGGCCGTTGTTCAGGGCGCGCTGGTTGAGCCAGGCGTTTAGGCGACGGAGGAGGGAGAGTGTGGCTAGGATCTTGAGGGTCTGGAAGAGCTTGGGGTATTGGGATGCTGTGGCGCGGCCTTTGGAGGTGTAGTGGGCGAGGAGGAGGAGGGGGAGGGTCTTCCAGGGGCTTAGGATTGTTCGTTGCAGGAGCTTCCCTGTGACGTCTGCGGTGAAGCCTGTAGGATGAGAGCGTTAGAGGAGCTCAGATGGATTGGGATCTTGACGGCTTAGTAAAACTCGAGACGAACCTTCGCGCGAGAACCAGAACGTTTCAGGCGCCATGGTGGATAGACGATGGTGGTACGGAGAAATAGGAGCAGCAGGGATGCCGCGACGGGTTCATATGGGGAGAGACAGCGGTCGAGAGAACGAGCCCCCTGTCGCAGGATGATCAGCCGAAACTGAGAAAAGACCGGCCATGATTCGTGGGAAGTCTCGTGTTCTGAGTTTCTGACCGTGACGAAAGCTACAAAGAATGCGGGGAAAGGAGGGCGAAATCATGGGAAACCGAGGTTCTCCGTTGCTCCCTTCTAGTTCGTCGACCACAGACAAGCGGACCGCGGTTGGCATGAACAAGCGAGCTAATCAATGCTTTCAGTTCCATCCCTTCCTACCAGTTTCCAGGCTCCAAAAACCAATGCTTACTTTCATGGATTAACTACTAGGATATCTCACTGCAGATCCGACCGAAAGGTCACCAGAAACAGCCCAACAAGTTACTATAGGTATGTTATGATATTCGCTGTAAATGCAAAAGACCGCCGCCCACGCCGATTCATGGATCCTAAAACAAATGCGTAGATAAGACATAAAATGACCGGCAAGAATCGCTTCAGATGACCGCCCATTCCCCAAAGTACACGGACAATTAGGTAGTTTGGCCCCGTGACGTGTGACATATGCGAGAAAAACACTGGAGTTAATGGAGTCGACGAAAGACCGTAAAAAGGTTCTGGTATGCGCTGTGGTTGGTGATGATCTGTCGAACAGTAAACGGAACCCCATCATCAGGGTCCAAAATGCGAGTGACGTCGGGTTGCACAGCTGAAAAAACGTATGAGATGGGAAAAGTGATGACGAGAAAAGCCAATAATGGCGGCATAAAAACGTGAGCTCGAGAGCAAAGCCGCTGGAAGGAGCAGCTAAGATAGAGGTTGACCGCAAGCTATGTGATCGCTAGTAGGGTAAATCCCCGTCGGTAAGGATGGGCGTCGTCTTGAAAATTGTCTCATATATCTCTGTAAGAATCTTTGCATCCACCCTCAATGTTGGCGAGATGTTTCGGTACCGGAGCAAGAAACGAATTGTTCTCCGGAGAAGTCTCTCGAGCTCGTGTCGCTTCACGAGTTCTGAGAGGTGAGATTTGTATGCAGTGGATAGGACAAGCATGTTTCCGAATTGTCTGTTGTGTGATGGTGAGTTAGAAACGCCTCACGTGTGAGAGGTGGAAATGGACTCAACGTACGCATGAGCAGTACCAAATATATTGGTCACCACCGGCCGTCCTTTTACCTCGTCAAATGCCACCGTGCTGTTCATTGCAGCTGCTATACACGACTTACACGCCTTGCGCATTTTCGACGGCAGATCACGGAGCGTCGGCAGCCCATTCTGGTCCTGCGAGGCACTCCAGTCACTCGACATGCGTGTCATGTCTACAGCGCGTGTGTCTTGCGTTACGGAAGGGGAACCAGCCTTCATGACCGTTTCGGGCTCTGCCATTCCAGGCATTCCAGGCGGCGAATCGACGTTCGGCTGATTGTATTTGAAGAGTGCGTAATAAAGAACAGGCCGATTGATAATGTACCGCGCGCCGTAGTACTTGGCTCTCATACGCGCGTGGTTGATATCAGAGGAGGGTGGGTCGTTGTCATGCCATTTCATTTCCCTGGGGAGACTAGCCCTCCATAGCTCGAGGTTCATGCTCAGAATCTCCTGTGTGCTTTGAGGCCAGTCGGGTCGTTGTTGCTTCTCTTTATCTTTCTCTGGGAGCAAAAGAATCAAAATCTTTTTCTAATCCAAAATGCGCCGAGGACACTCACTGTCAACTTTGTACAAGTCGGTATGCACGCGGTTCAGGATTTTTCGGAGATGTATCTGCGTAGAATAAAAGAACATCATCATTGTGTCAGGGTCCGAGATATTGTTGGATAACTTGAGCACTGAGCCCTGTGGGAGTCCGATACGCGACTCAGCGCGGGAGATTCCACTAGCAGGAACATCGAGTTCGGCCAGGATATCACTGTGTTTCATATGAGCATGAAGACACACAATGGTTGGAAAAGGCAAACCTTTCAAGCTGCAGACAGGTCCAGAACGCAAAGCAAACGTAGTCCTTTTTGATACCTTCCAACTTCTTATAATTTCTCCTGGATATTCGTCAGTCATCGTCTCCACAAGCAGTATTTGTGACTCACTCCAATGTAAGAATCTGACATGCCCGGGATGCTTGAGAGATCCAAGAATGGCTCCCAAACGGGTGGGCAAGCTGGCCGAGATACAATCCCGCCAACAAAGCCGCCTGAACATAAGCAATTGAAGTCGCGCCCTGACTATCACCAAGGATTCTTGCGGCATAGACGTAGTATACAAAGCCGGGGATGGTATCCACATTTCGCAATTGAGGATGGTCTGGAAAAGTGATGAAATTTTCATCCGTTGGGGCGGGAGTTGAAATTGGAGGAAATGGTGAGTGGAAGCTGCCTTGGTTGGAAGGCAATGAACCTGGTCCAGCTGGCGACGCCGTCAGAGTCCGTGGTAACCCAAGGCTTGGTTCATTACGGTAATCGATGATTTGATCAGTGCATGGGCCACGGATCGGTTCCTCGCGTACTTCACAGATACGGCCGAGAGCAAGAACAAGGAGGATGATGGCGTTGCGATTAGATCTCTCCACACTCGGCGGTAGATCTGGCGTCTCATCGGTTCGTCTGCGTTTGGTAGCCCTGTTGGATGCATCGACTGGGCTTACCGAGAGTCCTGACTGAGAGGTCCGCGAACAATGCTTTGAGATAAACTCATCCACTTTCCTTCCCAGATCATCTGGGTCGAGGAAAGGGTGGAGTCTGTGTATGTGGTCCAGGTAACTCTGAACGTAACGGCGGACAGTGCCAGCACTGATCTTTAGAACACCGGAATCATTAATGCCTTTTACCTCCGGAGCGGCGTCATTGTATTTAATGATATTCGAGCCCCAGGTAGTGGTTGAAGGCGATGTATGTGGAGAATTGAAGCTTGTGATCAAGCTGGGTTGCTTGGAAAACACCTCGTCGTCTGATTCCTGCACTTCCCCACGGCCTTGAAACCGAATCAATCCACGGGATTGTTCGATCCGCATAACGTAATCCTCGTCATAGTTATGAAGCAGCTTCTTGATTTTTGGCCATTTAAGCAATTTGTGCGCGGCGGTGTCATGATGCAAGGGGATCGACAGCTCTTGGGTATCCTCTCCAGGTTCGAGGATTTTGTCGGTAAATGCGGTATATTTGGAGTTTCCATTCGCATCTTCGGCGATTGTATCTGCCTCGGCCTTCTGAGGAGCATCAAAATAGTCTGGCTTAATGGCTGGGTGCTGAGGCCCACATTGACCTATGTTTTGTTTCATCTGTTTCAAAAGGTCGAGGATTTCGTCGAGTCTTCTATCATGTCCGAGACCAAGAACCTCCAGACTGGCGAACTTTTCTCCGCTAAAGTCATCTGATTGTTGCACCCGATCTACAATAATTTGCGTCGACTTGTCCTGCCTAGGAATTTTCAGTCAGCACTCTTAGCCAGGCAGAAGCAGCAGGGAACCACTGACTTGTGTGGAGGCACTTCTTTGTAGACACAAGCCAAGTTATTCTCTTTACAGTGACTACATGCCGGGCGTCCCTCATCACATTTTGCCTTGCGTGTTCGGCACTGATCGCAGGCCTGAGGTGAACAAATTGTCAGTTGAGATCCGGTTGAAGACGCCGTAGGCCATACCTGCTGCGCCCGGGTTGCCTTGCGCTGTCCAAGTCTGCTTTGACTCCACGTCATGTCGTAAGGGGGAGCGGGCGTGTGGGACACGGGAGGTGGGATGGTGGTTGGGTATTGGTTTGGAGGGAGCGATTGCGGAGGTTGAGGTGGATCGCCATTGGTGTGAATGATTTGGTCCTGGGGAGGATATGACATTCGGGATCTAGAGTAGTCGGGCGCAGACGCAGGTGAGGACTCTTGCGGTACTTGCTGCACTCCATTCATGGGGGGGAAGTTTGCATGCGGCAGTGGGGGCGGCTCTGTTGGCGCGTGGGCTGGCACGGGTAAACTGGAGGGTCGACTAAAATCGGGAGGAAGCTGCGGTAACTCCCGGTGCTGCATGGGAGGATAATTGTGATGTGATGGCAATGGAGGCTGCGGAGCATTGTTTGACGCTCGTCGTGCTTCGGCATGGTGATTGTCGTATAAGGGATACGGGCGCCACGGTTCAAGCACACCAGGGGCCCCTGGCAAGCCATGCGGCGCGTCGGGTGGTGGGATGCGATGCGTTGGAGGCGAGGGGCCCGAATAAAAAATGCGCGGTTTATCCTCCGCAGTCATGACTTCCATGGTCGCAGCTCCAACGTCTGGCAAGGGGATTCTGTACGGGCACAAATGCTCGATGGGAGGATTAGCGTACGCAATACTCATGCGGTCATGAGGACATGGTCATGCCCGTGTGGAACACGATGAATGCGAGTTGTTGCGCGGCCGGGACGAAAGCAAGGGCGTAGCTCTGGATCCAAAAGAGGAAATCAGCTGGCCAGCGGTGCGCGGCGGTGCGGAGGAGCGGGGAAGGAAGGGGGGTCCTTCAATCGCGGTTGCTGTCAGCGTCGGGCCTTTTCGTCCTGATTCAGTGAGGACCGGAAGGGAGGAGAAGAGGAGAGATCTGGCAGTCCGGTTGGTTTCTTCAGAAATGTATGATTCGCGCTGAAGGTCGTACGAAGAGGGGTGAGGATCGACCGGGAGCTTCAGACTGAGAGGGAGAGGTGCTTGGTCTATCGCACGCAGGCTGTCAGCGAGACAAAACACAGGCAAGGCAAGGCAACCAACGGTCTCGGTAGTCGAGCAGGAAGCGAGGGAGAGGCAAAAGCAAACGCGACCATAAAGAGGAAGCGAGGTGATCGCGATATAGCGCACCCGGGATGGTGGGAAGGATTGAAAGCAGGGAATAATAATAATAAAGAGGAGCTAATAGTGCCGGGGACTAGGACTAGGAGTAATGGAGTATAGGCACACCGACTGGGTGGAGAGAAAAAGAAAATAACAATGTGCGTCTTGAGTCTCAGGCTGACCCCATAAAAGCGTCCTCAGGGAAAGAAAGGGATTTAGTGCGAAAATCAGGAGGGGAACAGAGTGGACCGGAGCGAGAATAAGAAGAGGTCAAGAACACAAACACCAAGAGGGAAATCATGCCTGACATGCCAGCACGGTCCCAAACCAGGACAGGGGTGGGAGGATGATGATGCGTACCGGTCGATGTGATGGATGGATGAGATAACAGCGCTGGATTGTAGAAGAGAGTAAGAGAGCAAGTAGAGCAGGACAGGCGATCGGAATCCGATAGTTTCAATTGTTTCAGCCTGCCCCTCTCTTGAGTCTTCAAGAGAACAGAATTATTTATTTTATCCTAAAATCGATCTGGGCTGGGACCTCCGACAGCCACGAATTGACTGATAAGTCCAGCATTCCTGAACCTAACGGCAGTGGTAAATCTCTTTGTTGCGTTGAGTTCATAGAATGCAATATTAATGAAATAATCTGGACTGAAGACAGCTCCAAAGCATCGCCGGCAGTGGAGACACGCAGTGGGGAGGCAGAGACAAACCAGCCAGCAGATCAACCGGATTGGCAGCTGCTGCTTGGAATCCCAGACCGATTTTTCTCCAGGATTGCTTTCCCGCACAGTGCTGCCCAACTGATGCTATCAGAGCATGATGGCTGATTATTATTTCCTGCTGTGGTGGTCTATCTCCGCACTGAGTGGTAGACTGGCTGGGAGTTGGGTACCCATCACGGTGATCAAACACCGGCTATCCCATCGTCATATATCCCATACTCCGGAGTACACCGTCGGCTGATAGCCTGATACATATTTGAGGCTTTGAGCCTTTGAGGAAGCGTTGAGAGTTCCTTGGTTGAGAGTCAGTCAGGGGTTCTCCGTCTGGAGAAATGACAAATCGGATCGGCATTGCCACTCTCCCTCTCCCTCTCCCTCTCCCATCAACCTTCCCAGCACGCTGGAACGATCAACGATCCGCCTGGAAGTTACAGCTTGCCACTGGAATCCGCGGCCAATATGACTTCATTGTTGGCCCTTTAATATTCCGCTTCCAAGCTGGGCGGCCTCCGACTGGCGACTCCGTCTGTTGATCTCCGCAACTAGCTCTCCTGATCCCGTCCCCTGGTTCCTGGCCAGTGGCAACTCCGCCAACGTCTTCCCACGTCAGTATCAGCTCAACTGTCGTATAGTCTACGGAGTAGACTACGCTATACGGAGTACAGAGAACGAGACCGGAGATCCCTCCGATCACCGGCCGTCGACGAGTCTCGCTTCAAATCCCGTCAGTGGGGCTCTAACCTCGCCCCAGGAATAGGAGCATAATGGTCAGACATGCGGTGTCCAGGCTCTGTTGTGCAGCATCTCAAGCAAGGGATAGCCCTGTGCGATATTTCGTGCAGGTGGGCTTCAACCCCCATCGAGAACTCCCGTTTTCGTTCCGCAACGCGGTTATCCGTCCGACCGCCGCCCTCCATTTGTTTGTCCGCCGGGATGGCCGGAGAGACGGCCAGGAGAGAACCGGAGACTGCTCAGTTCAACTGTCCACGAGGAAACCTTGTCCCGATGTTGTTTTCTTTGTTCAAACTCAACGGCCGTCACGTTTATACTGATCTCGCTGAAGCTTTCTGGGATCATTGGATAACAGATCTTAGCGTCAACTTTCTTACGGCCGTAGGCCAGTAACTGCCGAGACTACCGAAAGATGAGCTGCCCCCCGTGCCAAGTGGTGCTCTGGCAATCCTCCTGTTCCCCGCGGATGTCCCGTTTGCCGCGATCTGCCTTGAATAACCATATCTCGATCAGGCATGATGCCGATCAATCCTGGTAGGCTTGCGGAGTCCTGGTCGCTGCTTTGAATGTTCACAGGGGCAGCTCACAGGTTACGCCATTTCCGAAGACGATGACTCGATAGCTGGAGGCGAGATATCGGTGTGTCTCGAGTCTCTTTCAGCTTCCTTTCTTACGCAACTGCCGGCAGCGTCGAATTATTCAGGCTTGATCAGCACGTTGACTCGATACGGAATACGCCAGTACTCAAGTCTACCTCGCTATTGGTCAACAAGCAAGCCGATGATCCTTCTGCCGAGATGGCTGCTGCATTACTACGCATGACCTTGTGGAGAGCTCTAATCGAATCATCAACGCCGAGTGCATGCGGTATAGCTTGAATCCTGTGCAGGGCATGCAGGCAGCAGGTGTGCCGAGCCCGCATCGTCCACAAGCCCCACGGTGACTGGAATCAAACATCATCAATATATGGTGATTAAGGCAAGAACGGGAGATTTTGGACATAGGGGAAGGGAATCCCCGAGTCGAGTCCCGAGCCAAAGTTGCCGCTGAAGGACGGCATCGCGGCTCAGATTCAGTCACTCAGAAACCTGCCCCCATCTAGTCAGTGCCCTTCTGGCGATCAAATCTGATAAGCGTGCATCGTGAAAGTAGCCAACTCGCAAGTTACAACTGACAGCGGGAGTGGCCGCTACACCGTACATGATTCTCATGCCCCCGAGCCGTTATTCGTGTCCTCACCGTTATTCGTGCATCGTGTCCCTCACCGTATGTAGCCGCTCTCAAGCATGGCAAGGTGGCCGAACCACGTTCACACTCATTGGCCCAACTTCGAAACAAACTTCCTTTCATCATTCCGTCTCGAGGACATAGTATTGGCTTACAGCAGCCATTCAAGTGCTTGAACAGACATGATGCCACCCGAGTGCTTCGTAGTACTCCGCATAGGCATTCTTCCAGTAGTCCGGTGTCCGCGTCTAGCCGGGCGTCCCTATCCAACTGTCTTGTGTCCAGGCTGGTATCCACTGTGATCACTGATCAGTGATCACTGATCGCCAACTGGCAATTGTCATGCCGGATCCACCAGCCACGAGCACAGCACCGCCCATCAACTCCATTCAGATCAAGATGGCCCGGCCCCAGGCCAAGCCGCTCTTGGCATTTCAATTCCAAATACCCTGCGGATAATCATCTGCGTTCAAGCAATTGCCTATGCGAGATACTCATTGGCTGGCTATTTTCTCCTTCCCCAGGAGGACGGGATCATCGGTTCGAGATTTGAGGTTCGAGGTTCGCGGAGTACGGAGTACAAAAAGTTCATGTCGGAGCCTACTGGCGCTTGAACTCGGGATCATCCTCAAGTTCTCAGCCACTGCCTTGGACCTACAGAGTAGGTTTGAAATTAGCCTATCGAGTTCTCGAAGTTGATAACGGAATTACATTCCGACTTGGCCAGTGGCTCGCGTCGAGAGTTTGAGGCTCTTTCGTATCCGTACAATCTAACCGAGCAAGGTTATTGTTCAGGTACACGGAGCCTGCGCCGACGAACACCGTCTTCCTACTCTGAGCACCGCCATACGCGGTAAAACTAACTGCAAGGTCGATATGGCAGTTAACAGTGGCTCGAGTTGGCTCGGCACTGACAGCAATACCTACCTCTCGTCATATCCTTTTGTCTCCTCAATCCGAAAATCACGCGAAAAAGCACGACGTCGTCGTCTGGTATAGATGACGCGGCGTACCTACATTTACACATCCACCAAAGCCACTGCATGGAAGCAAACAATCCAATTCACGGTTGCCACGATACGCAAGATCGAACCCAATCATAGGACAGATCGGAATTCAGCCTGGCTGCGTTAATACGAACTCGTCGTCCTGCATATGGATCGTTAAGCTACTCCTGCAGTTGAGCTCTGTGCCACAAACCACCGGTTACAGCGTAGTCTTGGCGGGGTCAGCTCCTTTACCAATACCTGCTCACGCCCCGGCAATGGGCACCCGGTACATTCTCGCTTCCCGCTGGGGTTGAAGACTGGTCTCAGGTACGAGGTGCCTGCTGCAATGACTCCTAGCTTCTCCATCCACGAAGCGAAATAAGCCAAGAACGACAATGCCCTTCGAACCCAAGACCACGGTCATGGAATCATGGATACGAGCTCAACCTTAATCAGAGGCACCGCCGCACCGGCCGCCTCTGAACGCACGGCGACAACTCGGGGAGCCTTTTCCATCAGCTCGCTACACATCATATGTACGTGATCAAGCCTTTGCGTCGAAATGTGACAGCTCCCCGCATTAGTGGCTGACCCATCTGCTCCAGTCCGAGTCCCAAACGGCGCTCAGCAGTGAGCACTAAGGTGAGGCTTGAGCGCGCAATTAAGAGGATGACAGATGGCGGACTCGTCGTCAATGCGATCTAATTCCGTGCATCTATCACATACCACTCGCCGGCCAACGTCTCACAGGCGACAAATCAATATTCAATACCACTCTTCCT